TGTTAAGAGTTTTATACAACCAGCCCCTAATCGGGCCCTGGATAGAAAGCTAAACTATATTATATTAAAGCAGCGTTTCTGTTTAGACTATATTTAAGTAAAAAAAAATGGCTAAAAGAAATTGCTACCAGGAACCGAGAAAAAAGTTGTTTTAGTTTAGTTTGAAAAGATTAACGCGAAAAGAGAAGGCTTTTATATCAAGCTAAGAGTAATAGCCATTAATCGCTTCACGGAGCGGAATTTTGCTAATCACTTACAACGGACAATAGAAATATGCAAAACATATTTATTTGGCTAACTTATATGTATTCTGGGCAAATCTGGCATGAGTTAGTTGATTATCTATTGTTGTAAATGCGTTCATTGTCCGTTGGAATTTTCTTTGTCGTTGAAATAATAAAAGGCGGTTGAATCTAGACGAAACTCAGTCTTTGCAGTCTCGAAAAAGAAGCATCAGTCGAAGAAGTTCAGGAAAAGTTGGAAGAGTCTTGCTCAGGTACATGTTGATAGTTAGTTTGAACAGCTGTTGGCTTTTTCTTTGACTTTGTGAATGAATTGACTGATCGCTGTGTTGATTTGAATAGCGTGGGAAGACGTGAGCGAGTGGAGCCATATTCTTGCCGATTATTATTGCTTTATCTTGTATATTTCGATTGAAAATGTCCAATGCAAATGAGCTGTTACTTTAATTTAGTTTTTCCTTGCTTATTTGATTTCAGAACGAACTACGGCGCCGAAAGATGGGGAAGGAGAAACGTAAAGGCTTGCTCGCAGCGAATAATAGGTATTGTTCTATTAATATATGTGTATTTTCATTTTGCATTTGTGACTTGAAAAACACGTTGGCACTTTGTTTACGGACAGTGAAGGTGGACGAAACTAGAATAGTTTTGATATATAGAAAGGAATTCGAAGTTTATGACCGTAACTAACTTTCCCGGCTGGCCTATTCGTTTTTCGGACAGGGTTGCCCAAACGCAAAGGGAATGCTCGTTTTCAAAGGGAAAGATGAAACTCAGTGCCTATATAATTATTTGTATTCGTATATGATTGTACTATGCTAGACTTCCCTGTCCTTTTGTTTTACCGAAGTTCTGTTTTTGTAGAACGAAAGAATCGTAAAGAGATGTTGGACATGCCTTGGGACATTTATGCACGCAAATACAAAACTCGATTTCGACAATATGCATGAGTAAAAATTGCATGGAATTTGGCTTTTTTGACTGAGATATAAACTGAACACTCTTCTGTTTACCTCCTTCATTTCAAGTTTTCCGCCTGTGCATGATTTTTGCATGAAGTCTGGTCGTATCAAGCGCACGCGGAGTGAATACAAGTGATTCTGGGGCCCCAATCACTTGTGTTTTCTCCATCTTGACGACTATGTAGTCCGGACAAAAATATCGCTCAGAGAGCGCCTAAAACATAAAAACATGAAATATGTATTTCTGGAAGGAGATGATAGTCCAGTGTTCTTGTTTTCTTTGTACCAAAACGTGCATGACATTTTGTTTTAAAACGCGCATGACATTTTGTATTAAAACGTGCATGACATTTTATATTAAAACGTGGATGACATTTTGTACTAAAACGTGCATGAAATTTTGTATTAAAACTTGCATGAAATTTTGTACTCAAACGTGCATGACATTTTGTATTCAAACGTGCATGACATTTTGTATTCAAACGTGCATGACATTTTGTATTCAAACGTGCATGATATTTTGTATTCAAACGTGCATGATATTTTGTATTAAAACGTGCATGACATTTTGTTTTAAAACGTGCATGACATTTTGTATTCAAACGTGCATGACATTTTGTATTCAAACGTGCATGATATTTTGTATTAAAACGTGCATGACATTTTGTATTAAAACGTGCATGACATTTTGTATTCGCGTGCGCAATGCGAAGGCCACGAGTGACTGACGTTGGAGTGTTGGAGGTTCGATATAATTTATCCTGAGTGCTTTATACATAAGTGACATTTCTCTCTTGGAAATTATTCATATCATACTTTTGTTGTCAGATGATGACGGATCGTCGCAGGATCAGGAGGATTATCGCAGCATCAGATGTTCAAGAATCGTCGCAGGATCAGATGGTATGGTATGGTATGGTATGGTATGGTATGGTATGGTATGGTATGGTATGGTATGATATTGCTACCTAAGTGATATTTGTGACTTGAAAATTAATGTCATATCATTTTGATAAAGTATCGTTGCAGGATCAGATGTTGAAGGATCGTCGCAAGATCTGATGATGAAGGATCGTCTCAGGATCAGATGGTGTGGTATGGTATGGTGTGGTATGGTATGGTGTGGTGTGGTATGGTATGATACTGGTATCTAAGTGATATTTGTGACTTGGAAATTAATATCATATCTTTGTTCTAAAGTATCGTTGCAGGATCAGATGTTAAAGGATCGTCGCTGGACCAGACGGATCGTCGCAGGATCAGTGATGAATTAGATGTTGGAGGAGCGTCGCAGGATCAGTGATGAATTAGATGTTGGAGGAGCGTCGCAGGATCAGTGATGAATTAGATGTTGGAGGAGCGTCGCAGGATCAGTGATGAATTAGATGTTGAAGGAGCGTCGCAGGATCAGTGATGAATTAGATGTTGAAGGAGCGTCGCAGGATCAGTGATGAATTAGATGTTGAAGGAACGTCGCAGGATCAGTGATGAATTAGATGTTGGAGGAGCGTCGCAGGATCAGTGATGAATTAGATGTTGGAGGAGCGTCGCAGTATCAGTGATGAATTAGATGTTGGAGGAGCGTCGCAGGATCAGTGATGAATTAGATGTTGGAGGAGCGTCGCAGGATCAGTGATGAATTAGATGTTGGAGGATCGTCGCAGGATCAGTGATGAATTAGATGTTGGAGGATCGTCGCAGGATCAGACGGTTCGTCGCAGGATCAAGTGGAAGCTGGTTGAGGTATATACTATAGGTATGCATGATTAGTGCATGCTGCATGGCATTGGATCCTCCTGGTGGTCTAACCTAGTATATTCACACATCAAGTGACATTTCAATCTTTTCGACTATGCATGATAACAGGAAATTTCTCACAGCTCTTATGAGGGCATTTTTAGAGTTTTCTCGATAAAAAATTCCTAGTTTTGTCACTTGTGTGAATACGTGTGAAATCCAACGACGTAGCGTCTGCGTATGCATGATGGCTTTAAAGCGTTCAAAAGAAACTAACAAAATGCAATTTGTTAGAGAAAATATCGAATTCGTATTAGCCTAATTTTAGATTAATACGAAGGTAATCGCGAGTACTTATATGATTATATAAGTTCTCTGTTCAGCCTGTTATAATGCGTTTCGAAGGACCGTCCGTCAGTGGCAACAAAGATTATACCTTAGCATGGAATTTTGAAGTTTGAAATGAAAAAAAAATGAATGCTTTGCTGTTTAGACACTAGTACTCTTCTTTTTCCCTTGTTCGTATTAATTTTTTGGTTTGCAGTTGTAAGCTTTAAAAAATCCGATTAATCCCGAACATGAAGGAAATAAACGTGATCTAATCACTTTGACTAACTTGATGAAATTTGTATAAGAGGAGAAAATATACCTCCCATATTGCATTGCATGATACCTGGACTTATAGTGGGGGGTATCTCGAGGTATAATGTTTAAACTGTAGGTTTAATATTGTATAGTACTCTCTTGCCTGAAAAGCCAACCCTTTAAAGAAAACCCTTTGCATTTTGACACACTTACTATGTTGTTTAATTTCTTACACGCCCAACCGTCGAGATGCTGTTGAAAAAGAAGGTGACTGTTTGGAGTGGAGCAATGAAGCAAGTGAAATTCGATACATTGTTTACCAAAGGTAATTATACGTTACGAAAATTTAAAGGTAAGGCGACATTATTGATTAGCTATATTGAGTAAGTTGCATGTTCAGCCCGATTACGTTTATTTCCTTCATATTCGGTCAACCGTAATCCAGAACGTATAAAATAAAAATAAAAACAGTGCATGAGGCATGTCTTAAAAAAGGGGTAGAAGAAAAGTGTTATTGTCTACATCAGTTTGATATGATAAAGCATGCAAGTCGTGAAAAAGTATTTTTTTATCATAAAATGAACATTTGAATAATTCCGAAATAATTTTCGTTGCCATTGTCGGACAAAGCGCAGTTGAATGTCTAAGAGCATGATGTTTTGCGCGCTCTAAATATGCGCGCGCTCTAAATATGCGCGCGCTCCGCAGGTTAGACCACCAGAAGAATCGAATTAACGAGGATCAAGAATTGCATGGCAATTCCTGGGACTAGGTTTGAAATTAGCGGAGCTGAAACGATGAATTATAGATAAAAACTGAAGTGCATGTCATTGCGAACGATTTCTAATAAAAATACCAAATTCGGACCGCCGGTCAGGTAACCTGAAATTCAGGTTACCTTTGGAGGGTTTTTCACCGGGCACTCCGGTTTCCCTCCTTTTCGTTTGGCTTTAAAAAAGAGTGTCCAGGCCTGGGGCCAAACCAAAACGTGTTGTTTGATAGTGATAAAAACGCGTTTGTGGCTTCTGGGTTCGATTCCCAGAACACTGTCGTAAAATAATTTTAAAAAGATGGTTGTGGAATCATTACGTAATTTACGTAATAAATAGGAAATATCTGGCATTGGGATTAGCACGTAATAGGTCCTCATGGTCAGGGCCGCGGGGATAGAACACTGTCAAGGGGGAGGGCATCTCCTGTACTCCAAAAACCTGGGAACGAAGATGTGGGGGGGGCATCTCCTCCTCCAAGAAAATTTTGAAATTTACCAGGCCCAGCGTTTCCATTTCTAAGGAAATTTCCTTAGAAAAGTGCTCCACTATGGGGGAGAGGGTAATTATTAATTGCAGAAATTATACATTCTTTTCAAAAGTTCTTTGTTTCTCCCTGCTCACCAATCCCATCCCTGTGCGAGGAAAGCAATATGCAAATAAATTATGGAAGCCCTGACCAGGCCTCCTGTTTAAAAACCACTGTTTAAAACATTGTCTTTGAAGTAATAAAAGGCAGTTGAACCTACAATCTAGACGAAACTCAGTCTTTGCACTTGCAGTCTCGAAGAAGTTCGGGAAAAGTTGGAAGTCTTGCTTAGGTACGTGGTGATATTCTTGCCGATTTTTACTGCTTCATCTTGTATATTCCGGTTGAAAATGTCAAATGCAAGAGAGCGGTTACTTTAATTTAGTTTTTCCTTGCTTATTTGATTTCAGAACGAACTATGGCGCCGAAAGATGGGGAAGGAGAAACGTAAAGGCTTGCTCGCAGCGAATGATAGGCATTTGTGACTTGAAAAAACACGTTGTGTGTGTGTTCGTGGTAGTCCTTCTTAGAGATAAAGATATAAGATAAAGTATTTTTCTCTAGTTTATATCTAAGTTTATGTGCGTAATTTTTTTTTCATTTGTATTGTGCATGCTTTATAAAAAGTATATGATATCGAAAAATATTAAAGACAGGTTACAGCGGCTTCTGCGCATGTGCGAGCTTTGTTTACATTTTTTGTTTTGATCCGCAATGATTCTACAACATGAAGTATATCATATATTCGCAATGATTTATCAACAAAAAAAGAGAGGAGCGACGCTTCTTTCAAAAATATATTTGCGGAAAAAAACTATAGAAAAAACCGAAAATAAGCAAATACAACATTTTACGGAAACACTTTACAACAGTGGATGAAAAGCCGCTTTGAAATCGTAGATTAACAGCTGGAGCGGCGGCCGAAGTTGTCATACAAAGGCGCGAGTTCTAATCGGTTCGCTTTTGGTTTGTTTATATTTGGGACTTGATAGCCTTGGAAGTGTTAGTAATGTCTTTAATAATGAAATATACTGTGCGGTATCTTTCCGCCGTCGAAAACTCATTCATACCAGGGTGGTCACAATCATGGCAGGAGCAATTGAAGGAAGCTTTTCGCTTGAAGATTTCGAAGCTAATGTTTTGGAAAACGCAGCGGCTATGCCTAACCGTGACAAAATCACAGTGTGCAAATGTAGAGGGCACTGTCTTCGTGAAAAAGGACGGAATTTCTGTCCGTGCAGAAGCATCAATAGCTTGTGTTCGAGCGCGTGTCATGGCGAAGACTTTGGCTGTTGCATGAACAACCGACTTGTTCAAGAAAGCGATAGTGATGAGAGTGTAAGTAAGATTATGTCATTCTTTAAATATATGGGTGGGAGAGAGCCAAGAGGGCTGGTTTCATTGTGGAAATATTTTTCCACTTTGTTTACTTTGTGATTTGCAATTATCTAGGACTCTGAGTTCACTATAGAGGAAAGTGAGAATGAGGGCGAGCAGCAGCTGCAGATTGAAAAGAGAGGATGTGGTAGGGAAGAGGTCGTCCAAGGGGGAGAGCAAGAGGTCAGGGAAGAGGGCAAGGTACTGCTTCACAGAGACGTGGAAGGGGAGGTAGTGGAAGAGGTCGTGGAAGAGGTCATGGTAGAGGTAGCGGGAGAGGGCGTTTGTTAGAAGAGCCAAATATTGCAGAAAATCAAGCAGATCATGAGCAGCATTTAGTGGTAAGATGAGCCTTTGTCAACACTTGATTTCATACAATTATTCTTAAAAGCCTTTGTGTAAAAACAATAAAACATAATACCACATGCAGCATATCTTATATTTTACTCTTATGCTGATTTCAGGATCTAGTTGAGGCAATGAATATAGACAACCTGAGAAGGCTTGCTCTTGAATTGCTAAGAAGACAGCCAGCAGCATTTGCTGACATTGTTAATGGTGAGCTTGTGAGCGGAAATGAACCCCAACCACCAAACCCAGAACCTGATAATGATGCTCCAGATTGGTGCAAGTGTGGGTGCTGCATGCCCACTCAAGAAGAGAACAAATGCTGCACCCGATCAAGACGTCCTTGTATCTCAAGAACAAATCTTTTCAGTCAACTAATCCTTGATGGGAATGTTTTGGAGATCTCAATGCGATACAGAGAAGATGTTTTGGTGTTGAACAATGTCAGGAACAATGAAAACTTTCGCCATGCTGCATATAGACAGTATGTTCTATGGCAACATGGTAGATTAGGAAGAGGAAATAGGAGAGTAGTACCAAGCTGTTGTGTGGTTGCTATTCGTAACCGTTATCCTTCACCTAATGGACAGTACAGGGGATATTTGCCTGCACATGTTTAGATAATTTATTACTTAAAGTATAAATAGTGCCCCCAAAAAGTAGACCAAAATAAACCACAATCGATGTTTGTGGGCATAAATATGTTTTTGGTCTGATGTTATAGCAGGCCCAAAAAATATTAATGCTCAAGAACATAAAGTATATTATTATATTATTTTATATTTTATTTATACAATACAAGTGAACATTTTTAGAATTGGGCTGAGCCAGCAAGGTAATAAAATATATAGCTGGGTAAATTTTTCATTTTAGTCTTCATACATTGTAATGCTGATTTAGTTGTTGTAATTGTCCATGTGCATGATTAGCATCAACCTAAATGCTAATTTTCCAATTTCAAAGTGTTTACTTGGGACACACTATACATATATCATAATAATTTAATAAAACATTCCATTTAAGATATTATGTGTCATATTTCATTGATAATGGGCTCTTAAATTTATGGCTGTTTCGCTCTATATCAGAGCTCGTCAGCATGCCTAGGAAACACAAATGAAATGATGATAACATCAATGATTCTGACAATAACAGCCTGACCTAGGGTCTGGGGGTTTGAAATTAGAGTTTTCCTTCTCTTAGGTGAACTGCCTACCATGGCTAATGAACTCCACCTACCCAAAGTAACTTGATTTTACACACAACCATTAAAATCTTGTTTTATGTGTGTCGACAAGTGTCTGTACTGATGGAGGAGGAACAGGGGCAATATTGGGTGCAATTTGTCTAGGATCATCACTTGGAATACCAAGTCTTTTGTTTACATTCCCTTCTGATGTGATCCTCTTTATAAAAACCTTCTGCATCAGTTCAGGAATGTAACTAAATTCTTTTGGTACAAGAACACGAACACGGCACCACTGTTGTGTACGCTTACTGAACTTCCGACCGTACCTAATAAAAAAACAACTTTACAATTCCATACAATATGAGTACCATTACACTATAAGAATGCACAGGACCTGAAAAGTTGTTCACACTTAGGATGGGAACACTAAGGCAAAAATTTCAATACCAGTACCTTTCTTTCCCATCAGCTGTAGTTGCTGGTGCTCGGCCTCTGTGGTGGTTAAAGTCCAAGGCAGCAAGCCGGTTTCTAGCTTGGTATACTGAGTATCTGAAGATACAACAAACATCAACATTCTTTTATTAACAATGCTTCCTTGCATGGAAATCAACCATGATAGGAGTTTTATTAGCTGTTACCTTTGTAATAATATGTCATATACTTACGAATAGGCATGGCGCTTTGGAGCATACATCAAAATTACATTATGAAAGGACTCTAAAATCCTGTGTGCCTAAAAAATATTTCAAACTTTGAGATGATATAACTTATCTGAAATTTTCAAATATCCAATCTCATTTGTTTACCTGAAGTTAACTAATACACCAAAGTGTTTAAAAAGCGAGTGTCCAGAATGATCTTTGCCAGTGCTTTATGGGCAGAAGACTCTTTCTTAAGCCATGGCTTCTTTCTCTCACTTTCATTAAGAGGATCATGTTCACATTTTCCACCATTTACACCTTCCTCCAACACCCACGCATGCTCATCAACAACATGGTGTAAAATACCAATCCACTTATCCTATTAAAAAAATAAAAAATACAACATAAAGTGACTACATATTAACACATGTATGTACAGTTTGCACGAACTAGATAAGTATTGCTGCAAAAACCAGTAGTACTTCAATGTGAATCTTACTTTGAGATTTTTTGAGTCATTAGCACATGTTTTTGAACAATACCAAAAATGGTTCCTTATTGATGGTGCCCACAAGGTCAAATCTGCATTGTCTTTAGATTTAGCAGCCTAAAGAATAAAATCAATTCTAAATAAAGAAAGTTTTTTAACTAATTGCTGGTTGATATCTTCAACACTTACAGTAGTGATTTTCTTTGCAATGTTCTTTGCTCCATGCCACACATCATTCTGATGTGTGACCTCCTTATATTTCTCTTCCCTTTCTAAAAAATGCAATAATGCTTAATTAATAAACAAATGCATGTTGTAAATATTCCCTTACTGTCTTTTAAAGGGTAAACACAATTAATTATATAACATTGTAATCAATCTGCAAATGAAGTTGTTAAATTATTGAAAGTCTGACAATATTGATTATAACAGGTTGAACTATTAGAGTTTCAGGAATTGCCATATTGTTATAATGTAGATACTTACTCATCAATGCAGCAATTTCAATATGACCATCAGTTACCACCTCCTTCATAACTATTGGTGATGCAAGCAGTGTGTCCATCCCTCTTTCAAACCCAATCCTCTCCATATTATTGCTCTTACCAGCAGCTTCTCTCACATCAACCACATTCATTTGCAGTATGGCACGATCATTGGTATCAGCCAAGCTGTAAGTACAATAATGTGCACTATGGCCAGGCGAGTCATTCCTTCCATCACCACTCAATATAACCTCTTTGTTCTCTCTTTCTTTCCAACATTTCTGTTTGTGTTCTTCCCAGTAGTCATTAATGGCAGGGATGATGTACAACTTCTGATACTGATTGAATAATATTGATGAGAAATACTGCAGATTACAGAAGTTGAACATCAACCCCACCTTGGCGTAGGAATTGCCAGACAACAACAAAGCAGAAGCAAGCACGAGGTTGCCTGCTCTAATCTTGTTGCAAGAGGGTTGAGCTGCCCATCTGCCTCCAACATGACCAGACCTACACCCCCAGGATACGACCAGGCATGTTCCAACATATGTTTTCTTATAGCTCAACACACAGCCACATCCTTGTCGTTTACAAACAGTCCCATGTAATGATACCGTAATGGTACTCATATTGTATGGAATTGTAAAGTTGTTTTTTTATTAGGTACGGTCGGAAGTTCAGTAAGCGTACACAACAGTGGTGCCGTGTTCGTGTTCTTGTACCAAAAGAATTTAGTTACATTCCTGAACTGATGCAGAAGGTTTTTATAAAGAGGATCACATCAGAAGGGAATCATTACATGGGACTGTTTGATAACTCAAAGCTATAAGAGTGTCTGTAAACACAATACACTTTTCTTTCTTGATTGCATCTTCAGGACTGACTTCTTCCACAGTAGAGATGTATTCTGGTTGAGTTGTTTTATGTTGCTGCTGTTGTTGTTGTTGGGTTCCAACATCTTCTGTGGGCTTATCTCCATCATGTCCACGGATTGTCACATTGAGCAAGTCATCCAGTAATGGCACGTCAAAACCCGGGGGACATACACTACAGTAAAATGGCAGTAAGAGATATTATTGGACGAAATATTTTATGCCATATTCAGTGATATATAATGTGTATATTTATGTTTTAAATCAATAAGCATTACAGTAGGAATGTCACAAAGATTATTATTGAGGTTTTGCATCATCACTTACTCAAGAGAATAGTCCGACAAAACCTGGTCTGCCTGGATAGTGTGTTCACCAAAATTGTCATTATCATCATCACTTTCATCATCAGAACTATCATCTTTGGCTGTCAATGTTCGACTGTCAGAAATCACACTCTGACCCGACCTGAGATATAAACACATATTGCGTATTTAAAAAGTAATACTCTCTGCGCGAAACTTTGCATGTATGGGTTTCAAATTATAAACTCAGTAATCACAATAAGTTTCAAATTACCTGATAGAATATGATGTTCTAACATCCGACAAAGCAGACAATGGACGCGGATTTGAGTGCGCGCTTGGCGTTGAGGTTTTAACTATAAAATATTTCATACGAATGTTTTATGCGAATATTTTAAAATAATAAATGTTTACGTTTTTGGAACAGCACTTTAAAACATATGTTCTTACTGGGAGAAGAAAAATATTTGGAAGGTGTACTTGGCGGCATATCCCTTGATTCCATTACCGTTTCGGTTTGCATCTCTGCATTGCTAAAGTGAGTTTAACACATACATAAAAAGCATTATCAAATAAACAAATAACACACAAAAAAGGTCAGAGGTTTTATCATTTTATACTTACCAAACTATACGATTCATCGCAAGATAGCTGTCAAGAAGCATATCCGCCACATCCTTGTCTGTTCTCAATTTATGCTGCTCCTTAAACGCTCTCCATCGAGGGAAAGAACCCAACAAATACACTTTAGAGGCATCTCTACTAGCATAATATTCTTTTCTACTCGACGACATGACTCAGTGCTCTTGAAAGATTGAGAATTTCTTTCTTAAATTGTCGGCTGGTCATGGTTTTTAGACTGAACAATCCGGGGGATTATCAACTTCGGGTGGAGTCCCCAGGCTGGCGCACGCGCAGAAGCCGTGTCTTTAAAACAGGCAAAAAAATAAGAAATTTCAACCGCTCTTCACCGCAATTTCCACGGCTCTCTTCACCGCAATTTCCACCGCTCTTCACCGCAATTTCCACGGCTCTTCACCGCAATTTCCACCGCTCTTCACCGCAATTTCCTTTCGCTTCTACGCATGTGCGAGCTTTGTTTATATTTTTCGTTTTGGTGTGAATCCATTTCATTTGCACAACATGAAGTATTGAAAAAACTAAATTAAAATGGCGGACCCATCGAGAGTGAAGAGTGGAGCTTTATAAAACCATTCAACAATTGTCGTTTAAAAGACAACCAAATAAATATTTTGAAAAACAACTACTGGAAGATATCTCCTGTAAGTTTGTCGATTTTATCTAAGTTTGAGATACTGTGTATAATTATTTTTACAGTGATTGTTGGATGATTATTAAATTTGGATAAAAGATTATACTCAGATAATGATTTTGTTTATAAAATACCTTCGTACTCTGTTCTAATATTGCAGGATTCAGATTTATGAGCAAGATAATCATGCTTCCATCGTCAAAGTAGCTCTTCTGAGTGTGTTTCATCATCGACATCAATGCCATGTGGGTCAACATCACTGAATGAAACTGCTTCAATACGAAAGCTTACAAGTGAAGATATAGATAGGAGAGTATAACATCCCAACCTATACATTGTAGTTAAAATATAATAACAATATCAACCTCAAATTCAACTAATATTTTGTATGCAATCAAGCAAAATTTGGAAATGCTGGTTGTTAATTTTACTGCAATTATTACACAAGATATGATTACACTCCTTTATCATTACCCCATCCCGTCAGAATTGCTATTACATGTGAATGCAATATAATTTTTGTACACAATCATTATTCAATTATGGTTTTCAGCATAAATTATGCCTTATGTCCCTTCTCCAGACAATATTTATTGCAAGCTATATGATATTTGCTCCAATATTTGGCTATATTTGTGAAAGATACAGTTGCAAGCTCATTATGATCTATTGCCTCGTTATCTGGTCCTTAACAACATTTCTTAGCACACTACTTAATAAACACCTATGTAAGCTTTTACTGATTTCATACGGTGAGTTAGAAGTCAGATATGTTAAAAACAGAAGGAAAATGGTAGGTTTATGAATAGTTTGGTATGTTCTTGGTTCAAAAGTATCTTCCGCATTTAGTGGTGGCAATAATTTTATAATAAAGAAAACACAGGGTATGTAAACATGTGAAATAAACATGTTATTACTTGATGTGTTTCAGGTAACTCCAATCTTGGGTGTGCTTCTTATCATCTTGGGCTTTATATCTGTTGTTTGAACCTGTCTAGGGGCAAATTGAAAAGAGTCAGGGTGATATTGTTGCAGACAAGGATGTTATCATTCGTCGTTCATGGTTGAATGATGCGAAACATATGTTACGCTGGTAGGTGATTTTTAACAACAGATGTTGCTTACTGCAGGATGAACTGTTTAGAACTGACAGAATTATCCAGTGTAAATATAGTTAGTTTGTGTAGGTTTCCTGCTGTAGTAACGCTGAATCAATATAAGATGATCCAGTATGCCATTCCTTGTTATGCCCTTGATCCTAGCTTCAAAATATATTGTTCTTTCTTATGTATGTAGCGTACGCCTAAGATCCTGCAAGACACAGTCACAGCATGGCTTCCAGCCCCAGTCTGATTTATTTATATCAATTTCTTTCTTATATTACATTCCGTCAATTACGTATCATAATCACTTAATCATCATGTTCCTCTAGCAAATTCTATTTACATGATTAGCTATATTTATTGCGACATGCATTAATTACGCAATCATTTTGATCGCGCTTCACATGTAAGTTAAACATGTATATCTGAAATTAAAAATATATTTAATATTTCCGTAAAGACATTTCTACCATATAAGTGTTAGCAATTGTTCTGTTTCTTTGTAGATACAGACAGAGCCACAGCATCGGCAGTCCTTATATTGTGGGTTTGGTATGTAATATACAATTTCTTTTACCTAAAGCTATGAATCACCGACACGCCCACTTAATCTAATTATGACGTCACTTCCGGTGGGCGGATCTTATTTCGCTACTTTCTTACGGTTTGACTTTTGACTTCCGGTTTTTCGATAGGCGTGGTCAGACACGCCAACTTAATCTAATTATGATGTCAATTCTGGTCCGCGGGGCTTATTTCGCTACTTCCTTACGCTTTGACTTTTGACTTCCGGTTTTTCGATGGGCGTGGTCAGACACGCCCACTTATTCTAATTATGACGTCACTTCCGGTCCGCAGGGCTTATTTCGCTACTTCCTTACGCTTTGACTTTTGACTTCCGGTTTTTCGATGGGCGTGGTCAGACACGCCCACTTAATCTAATTATGAGGTCACTTTTGCAGGGGCTTATTTCGCTACTTCCTTACGCTTTGACTTTTGACTTCCGGTTTTTCGATGGGCGTGGTCAGACACGCCCACTTAATCTAATTATGAGGTCACTTTTGCTAGGAGGGGCTTATTTCGCTACTTCCTTACGCTTTGACTTTTGACTTCCGGTTTTTCGATGGGCGTGGTCAGACACGCACACTTAATCTAATCATGACGTCACTTCCGGTAGGCGGGGCTTATTTCGCTACTTCCTTACGCTTTGACTTTTGACTTCCGGTTTTTCGATGGGCGTGGTCAGACACGCACACTTAATCTAATCATGACGTCACTCCCGGTAGGCGGGGCTTATTTCGCTACTTCCTTACGCTTTGACTTTTGACTTCCGGTTTTTCGATAGGCGTGGTCAGACACGCCCACTTAATCTAATTATGACGTCACTTTCAGTGGGCGGGGCTTATTTCGCTACTTCCTTACGCTTTGACTTTTGACTTCCGGTTTTTCGATGGGCGTGGTCAGACACGCCCACTTATTCTAATTATGACGTCACTTCCGGTCCGCAGGGCTTATTTCGCTACTTCCTTACGCTTTGACTTTTGACTTCCGGTTTTTCGATAGGCGTGGTCAGACACGCCCACTTAATCTAATTATGAGGTCACTTTTGCTAGGAGGGGCTTATTTCGCTACTTCCTTACGCTTTGACTTTTGACTTCCGGTTTTTCGATGGGCGTGGTCAGACACGCACAGTTAATCTAATCATGACGTCACTTCCGGTAGGCGGGGCTTATTTCGCTACTTCCTTACGCTTTGACTTTTGACTTCCGGTTTTTCAATAGGCGTGGTCAGACACGCCCACTTAATCTAATTATGACGTCACTTTCAGTGGGCGGAGCTTATTTCGCTACTTCCTTACGCTTTGACTTTTGACTTCCGGTTTTTCGTTGGGCGTGGTCAGACACACCCACTTAATCTAATTATGACGTCACTTCCGGCCTGCGGGACTTATTTCGCTACTTCCTTACGGTTTGACTTTTGACTTCCGGTTTTTCGATAGGCGTGGTCAGACAGGCCAACTCAATCTAATTATGACATCAATTCTGGTCCGCGGGGCTTATTTCGCTACTTCCTCACGCTTTGACTTTTGACTTCCGGTTTTTCGATGGGCGTGGTTAGACACGCCCACTTAATCTAATTATGACGTCACTTCCAGTGGGCGGGGCTTAGAATGCTCATTGATTTGCGGTCATTGTATGAAACCTTGCTGGTTGGTTCATGTCCTTGCCATGGCTTCACAAAAGTGCCAGGGCATATTGGTAGTTTCTACCACATTGTTTGTCGCCATGGCGTAAGTATTGAAATATTTCACCTGCAATGCAACTCTACTTTTGAGACATGTAAATTACGAAAGTACAACTTATATTTCGTATTGTTCTCTCAACATATCGAACATCTTCACTGACACTAATTAACATCTCTCAAGAGCAGAATTGCATTGCAAGTTGCGAGAAAAATTGCACCCTGTAACAGGGCATTTATCATCTTGTTTTCTTAGACAACCGTAGCTCTAGTCTGAGACGTATACAGTGATATATCATTTAGAGCATTTATAAAATTTACATTTATAGAATTTTTACTCTAGGTGTTCTAAAAAATAATTCTTTTGGGTGTCCTTTCCTTTCAGGTAACCGCAGCTTCAAAGTTTCTGACTTTACAGGAGTCAGTAAGAGATGCAGCAGATCTCTATTTATCATTTTAGCATATTCCTCTTGTTTTTCTTTGCGACACGGCTTGTGGGTTTGTCAGGCACTTAGAGTGTCGGGTCAGTAAAGAAATGACCGAATAGCTATGGAAAGATAACAGAGGGTGTTTTGAGGTACCATCGTTGGATAAACCACCATCAAAGGTATCGTTTACGAAAAATCTACATATTACTGGTGTATTGTGCACGTTCATTGCCCTGCAACATTTTTATTCAGTCAAGGCTAACTTAAGATATGACTTGAAAACAGTTTAGAATATTCTGAAAACCCATAAAATGGAACAAATAAATTATTAATTTTGTCGTCATGACACTTCTAGGAAATGAGTGTCCCTATGCTGACAACAGCAGAATACAGAAAAAGTGACAATGATATGATACAGGTGGAGGATGGTAGCATGATTCATCCATTGACAGGCACATCCAGGAGATATTTTTTAGGTGACAGATTTCACACAGCAAGCAATCCTCACAAGTCACCCCTTTGTGAATATCACAACATAAATCTTTTGTCTCAGTCGAACACGATAAAAACAAGCTATCAAGAGTCCGAAAACAACTGAAAGAATGTGCGATGGTTACGAAGCTCGACGATGCAAAATTTTTCCCCCACTATTTTTATAACTTTTTGATGGATTTCTATCAAAATGAGGAAATAGTAAAAAAGCAACACGACGTAGCTTCGAGACAGCTAAAACCTGGGCAGATGTTATGCAGGAATTCATATATGCAATTTGTGATAAAAGATGGTGAAAAATAAGCATTAGGGTTATTACTCATCGCGCGCTTGTTGTTTACGTTGGGTAGGTGGAGCTCGTCAGTCTTGGAAGACAGTCCACCTAGGAGAAGGAAAACTCTGATTTAAAACCCCCGGACTCGTGCAATAAATGGGTCAGGCTGTCCATGTCGGATTCATTGATGCTGCTAATAATTATTGCAATACTTAATGTTTCCTAGGCATGCTGACGAGCCCTGAGATAGGGCAAAACAGCCATTATACACGAATTGTTATACATAGTATTATTTATTGGATCTAGTTTTCATAACTTTTCATATCTTTAGCAAGCAACTGGACGGTTTATTCGTTCTTTAATGTTTTCAATTAAATTATTTTTTAGATTTCTGTTTGCAGAAGTCGCACAGCCTATAATGAAAAAAACAACTTGTTTGAACGTCAATCATATTTATAGGACGTTGAAGTATTAACATTACTGTAAATGTATTGACTTACCACTTTCCTTTAGGTACTCTTTCAATTCCTAGGCACTCCTGATGGTAGTAGCCTTTACCTGGACACTATAGTTATGGTTGAAAAATAAGCAGTTATTGACCGACATTAGTTTTAAGGAAACTATTAGTGGGATACGAGATGTAGTATCGTTTATTTTACAGATAGTGGAATGAACATAGAAACCTCAACCAGACAACATAAGATTGCTTTTATAAATTTCTCGTACATAAGGTTCTGGACAAGAAACTCTCGGACTGAGAAAATATATGCGAGCTTAACTGTTTTACTGCATTTGAGCACAATGCAAAATCGAATCTAGTCTATATGTACTATTTTATACATACGTTCTTTTTGTTTGTGGTTTCACATATCAGCATCATGTCCTCCGATTCTTTATCTCTTTCCTGGAACGATTATGGTATATACATCATTGTATATACATTGTATATACATCGTGCAACTTGCTCTTAATTCAGAACTGCGTGACACAAAGTTCAGAAGTTCTAGCCGGTAAGAGAACTTAGGGGGAAAACTAATGTAAATAAACTGATCAATGATGATAATGTATTTTCCTTTAATGCTGGTATCATGCATGAATAAAAAGGACTTAGACAGGAATTGCACTGGTCCAATATGAATTCGGGGACACGCAAGTTTCCCGTCCGAAAGTTACCGTCTCGTCCAAACAGTGGGAAAATTATGCAGATATTGAAAAATTGTATAAGTACGTCATAAAACTAGATGTATGATTTACCTCTTTGCATGAACACCATTTGTATACTTTAATTTTGCCGGAATTCGGAGGACATGATAATCCACTCGTCCAGCAGTTGTCCCAACACTTTATTATTATCAGATCGTGTAGAGCCTATATGTGATTTAAAAAAAGAAAATATGCTCATCAAATGTTGATGCAAAAAGTGCATGGATTTGGACAGACACACTTGTTAATCAGAATTCTTTTACTTACTCCGAGGAAGCAATAGCACTTCTGCAATAATCGCTTTCTGGTGTGCGATTCACCTGTAATTAGTTAAAAGGCATAGACATTTTAGTTATATATTATATATTATATATACAGTAATTTATATAATCGTACTTGCAAACCACACAAGACACATCGTATATCGTTTACCTCTTGCAGGCATTTCATTGCTTGTCGCAGACGTTTTTTGATCGCCAGTTGCTATTGGGGTTGAATCGGGAATTTTGTCTTGGGAAGTTCTCACATCTGTTGTATTGTGATCTAAGATAATTGGAAAGAGCAAAATAACGTAAATGAATTGTATGCCGGGCAGCAACAGTATTGCATTAAGTCAGGTGCACGAACATGTAATAACGAGCATAAATATTTGCATGCAAGCTGAATAAGTCAAATAAAACGAACCTATTTCGGGTCTCTTTATTATTTTTTGCGCGACTTCAATGGCCTGTAAATTAATCACAGAAAAATTTGTCATGCTTAAAACTTTATAACATCGTTAAAAAAACATTAAAAAAACTACAAAAGCATCAAAACTCGTTAGTAATTCGTTTTGATATTTTTAAAATGACATACCCAAGCAAATGTTTTCCTTTTTCTTGGAGTCAGGTTGTTATATCTAGCCTTTGTGTTCGGTGTAAGTTTCTATTTGAATAGTCAAGGATACACAGTGAAACACAGATTAGACAAGTCGTTAAACTGCTCATACAATCTCCTAACTGAGTAAGCCTCCATACCTCTGTAAAACTGAAGTTGAGCTCCTCTTCACTTTCGGTAGGTGCAGTTGTATTTTCGCGATATTGCATGACTTGACTATTTTTAAATGCTATACAAATGTGTTATTAAAGGTTTCAAAACAATTAATATGCTGATGAAATACTCAAATAGTAATCCTCATCTGATTCTGTTATTTCTGTATACCTTCTAACTTTATCCTCAACTCGTTTTCGAGAGTGTCCAAGCTTTCGCAACCTTCATCCGATATTGTTGTTGCTGGATTGTTCATTTCTTCCATATCACTCTCATTGGGGGCATCATCCCAAATTCCACTGGCTTATGAGTAATATTGTTAGAACAACGATTACATTCAAGACACAAAACAAGCCTAAACTTCGAACCAGAAAGAATTGCATAGAAACTTTATTTAAAACTTTCTTACCATACACTATCATATGTTGCGTGAATGGCATCAGTTTCCCCAGAAAAATTCGGTATGCTCTTTTCTGGCAAACGTGTTTCCTTTTAATCGTTTGCTCCAAGGTGCATTCCCTGTCTTTGCTGAAGTATATCCCTATTGTCCCCGGCCCCGTACAAGCGTACATTGCAATTCTTTAAATTTCTATTAAAACAACAAACATTTTGTGAAATGCAGTCAAAAGACCGCGTTAGACTCCAAAACTGTACGTGTTACTCACTGTATGCGAAATATTGAGTCAACTGTCGACTGCAGTTGACAGTAGCGCAATGCCTGGAACCTTCATCCCTTCGATGTTCTTGACAGTAACTTTAGGGTGCAGCCATGTAAGAATCTTAAAAGAGATCAGCAAAATCTGTGAATGTTATATCCAAGGAAATCGAACACTGTGTATATGGCGCCATTTAATACTTTATTTCATTCGGAATTTTTTTTATGTAAATAGAATCATGAAAGAAACAAACCGGGTCTTTTTCCTCGGCAATCTTTTCAATGATGTTAGCTTTTAGCCTTTGCATTGTTGAATGTATACTGACTGTCTGCACCTTTAATAACTTGCGGCATGCAAACAATACATAATCTTGGTGTTCGCTTTGGTTACCACACGAGAAACGTAACTAAAATGAGAAACATAAGTCATGTAAAAATGAACTCTATTATTGAAAACTAGTCCGATCTATTTTTTGCGAGTTATTTGAGTTTCACATACCAGAGCATTTGCGACCAAAATCCTGAATCAAGCACATGCCGCAGCCATCTTGCTTTTGGAGGTAAGGGGCCACGCTGCTCTTGTTCAATTCTCACATTGAAAAATAAAAACAAAAAGCAAACGAAAGTGTGCTACGCTTGCTGCGCTTGCTACGCTTGCCACGCTTGCCACCCCGCTTGCCACGCTTGCCACGCTTGCCACGCTTGCCGCTTGCCACGCTTGCCACGCTTGCCACGCTTGCACGCTTGCCACGCTTGCCACGCTTGCCACGCTTGCCACGCTTGCCACGACTGCCACGACTGCCACGCTTGCTACGCTTGCTACGCTTGCTACGACTGCTACGCTTGCTACGACTGCTACGACTGCTACGACTGCTACGCTTGCTACGCTTGCTACGCTTGCTACGCTTGCTACGCTTGCTACGCTTGCTACGACTGCTACGCTTGCTACGCTTGCCACGCTTGCCACGCTTGCCACGCTTGCTACGCTTGCCACGCTTGCCACGCTTGCTACGACTGCTACGCTTGCTAGGCTTGCTAGGCTTGCTACGACCGCTACGCTTGCTACGCTTGCTAGGCTTGCTACGCTTGCTACGCTTGCTACGCTTGCTACGACTGCTACGCCTGCTACGACTGCTACGCCTGCTACGCTTGCTACGCTTGCCACGCTTGCCACGCTTGCTACGACTGCTACGCTTGCTAGGCTTGCTAGGCTTGCTACGACCGCAACGCTTGCTACGTTTGCTACGCTTGCTACGACAGCTACGCTTGCTACGCTTGCTACGCTTGCTACGCTTGCTACGCTTGCTACGCTTGCTACGCTTGCTACGCTTGCTACGCTTGCTACGCTTGCTACGCTTGCTACGCTTGCTACGCTTGCTACGCTTGCTACGCTTGCTACGCTTGCTACGCTTGCTACGCTTGCTACGCTTGCTACGCTTGCTACGCTTGCTACGCTTGCTACGCTTGCTACGCTTGCTACGCTTGCTACGCTTGCTACGCTTGCTACGCTTGCTACGCTTGCTACGCTTGCTACGCTTGCTACGCTTGCTACGCTTGCTACGACTGCTACGACTGCTACGACTGCTACGACTGCTACGCTTGCTACGCTTGCTACGCTTGCTACGACTGCTACGACTGCTACGACTGCTACGACTGCTACGACTGCTACGACTGCCACGACTGCTACGCTTGCTACGCTTGCTACGCTTGCTACGACTGCTACGCTTGCCACGCTTGCCACGCTTGCCACGCTTGCCACGCTTGCCACGCTTGCCACGCTTGCCACGCTTGCCACGCTTGCCACGCTTGCCACGCTTGCCACGCTTGCTACGACTGCTACGCTTGCTAGGCTTGCTAGGCTTGCTACGACCGCTACGCTTGCTACGCTTGCTAGGCTTGCTACGCTTGCTACGCTTGCTACGCTTGCTACGACTGCTACGCCTGCTACAACTGCCACGCCTGCTTCGCTTGCTACGCTTGCCACGCTTGCTACGCTTGCTACGACTGCTACGCTTGCTAGGCTTGCTAGGCTTGCTACGACCGCAACGCTTGCTACGTTTGCTACGCTTGCTACGCTTGCTACGACTGCTACGCCTGCTACGACTGTTACGCCTGCTATGCTTGCTACGCTTGCCACGCTTGCCACGATTGCTACGACTGCTACGCTTGCTAGGCTTGCTAGGCTTGCTACGACCGCAACGCTTGCTACGTTTGCTATGCTTGCTACGCTTGCAACGACAGCTACGCTTGCTACGACTGCTACGCTTGCTACGCTTGCTACGCTTGCTACGCTTGCTACGCTTGCTACGCTTGCTACGCTTGCTACGCTTGCTACGCTTGCTACGCTTGCTACGCTTGCTACGCTTGCTACGCTTGCTACGCTTGCTACGCTTGCTACGCTTGCTACGCTTGCTACGCTTGCTACGCTTGCTACGCTTGCTACGCTTGCTACGCTTGCTACGCTTGCTACGCTTGCTACGCTTGCTACGCTTGCTACGCTTGCTACGCTTGCTACGCTTGCTACGCTTGCTACGCTTGCTACGCTTGCTACGCTTGCTACGCTTGCTACGCTTGCTACGCTTGCTACGCTTGCTACGCTTGCTACGCTTGCTACGCTTGCTACGCTTGCTACGCTTGCTACGCTTGCTACGCTTGCTACGCTTGCTACGCTTGCTACGCTTGCTACTCTTGCTACGCTTGCTACGCTTGCTACGCTTGCTACGCTTGCTACGCTTGCTACGCTTGCTACGCTTGCTACGCTTGCTACGACTGCTACGACTGCTACGCTTGCTACGCTTGCTACGACTGCTACGACTGCTACGACTGCTACGACTGCTACGACTGCTACGACTGCTACGCTTGCTACGTTTGCTACGCTTGCTACGCTTGCTACGCTTGCTACGCTTGCTACGCTTGCTACGCTTGCTACGCTTGCTACGCTTGCTACGCTTGCTACGCTTGCTACGCTTGCTACGCTTGCTACGAGTGCTACGACTGCTACGACTGCTACGACTGCTACGCTTGCCACGCTTGCTACGCTTGCCACGCTTGCCACGCTTGCTACGACTGCTACGCTTGCTAGGCTTGCTAAGCTTGCTACAACCGCTATGCTTGCTACGCTTGCTAGGCTTGCTACGCTTGCTACGCTTTCTACGCTTTCTACGCTTTCTACGCTTGCTACAACTGCTAGGCTTGCTACGACTGCTACGCTTGCTACGACTGCTACGACTGCTACGACTGCTACGCTTGCTACGACTGTTACACTTGATAGGCTTGCTACGACTGCTACGCTTTCTACGCTTGCTACGCTTTCTACGCTTGCTATGACTGCTACGCTTGCTACGCTTGCTACGACCGCTACGCTTGCTACGCTTGCTACGACTGCTACGACTGCTACGCTTGCTACGCTTGCTACGCTTGCTACGCTTGCTACGCTTG